GTGCAGGTCAAGGTTATCGAAAGAAATAGATATATCTTCTACTACTGAATAAAATTACACTTTTATTACTGAGAATTTAATGCAAGAATATTCACAAATAGGTATGCAAGATGCGATGGGATAAACTCTTTGAAATGAAATCTTTTTCAAGATGATATGGATCTCTTGACAATGCTTTCACAACGGCAAACGATATGTAATATTAATTAATGTAAAAACATGGAATTTAATAATATTGCCTCGTATTAGGAGCTTACATTGTTCATCATTACGTGCTGTTCACCGTTACTAGAAGGGATTGTCAAATCAATATAAGGAATTCAAACATATTATTATTGTATTCCGAACAATTGTCCAATATACTTTGTACTGTATAGACTCCGAATTTTAATAAATTGTTTTAATACATTATTATAAATTTTTTAAAAAGCTTTCATTATTGTTAATAATTAGTAATTCTTATTAATTTTAATAATCCTTATTAATTTTTATGAATTAATGTACGTATGTGTGTGTGCGTGTGTGCGCAAGTAATTATTATCGCGGTGTAGTATATAAAATATTAGTTCTCTTTATGTTTGCAAACGTACCTATATCTATTCACAACTTTTATCAGATATAAAGAAAGTTTATTTGAAAAATGTAAAAATCGTCTTTTATTATATTATAACATTGCATACGCATATATTAGTTACAAATATTTGAAATGCGAAAATTGAGATCTTTGTCTTCTTGTATTTGCATGTGTAAAGATAAATAACTATAATAAATAAGAATAATTAGGCACACAGAAATAATAGCAGTTGTTCGTAATTGATTTCACTTTTAGTTACAATTAGAACTATCGGCAAATCGCAGGACTTGTAAATGCTTATAAACGTTTGCACCTTTTTCTCGCGGATATAAATATGTTTACGCGGTCATCTTCAATAATGAACGTTGCAAGAGCGACTCATTCTCTAGCGATTCATTGCCTTCCTTAAACTACTTAATCATTTTTGTGCTGTCCCTTCGATAAAAGAACTTTCTCCATACACACATTAAAAATGCGTTTTATTATATTTGCTGCAGTATTGCCAACTTTAAACTCACAGAGCTTTGAAACCACGAATTTTTAACTTTTCGCTATTCATCTTTTACTGCATAAAAACAACGGGGCATTAAAACAATTGAAAACTACGCATCATGTATATCAACGACATAAATATAACGTTCCGCTGATATTAATTTGATGTATTATATTTGCGAATTACTGACTGCGAAACCCGACTTCAGTTCATTGTCAACAAGAAAAGCGTACGGATACTTTTGCCGATAGCTACATGATAATGTCATTAAACTATATTAAAAAGAACATATGAAGCCTGTTTGGCAAATAATACTTTATCTATGGCGCATTTAACTTTTAATGTTTCGATTTTATTTAATCAACTTTTCCTTTTATTGACAAGAAAACAATTTTAATACGCAGATGTTTCTCCTCTTAATTTTAAAGATTTGAACGTTATTTAATATCATTTTACAAAATGTATAAAATTTTTATATCATGTACGAATAATAACTCACCAAAGTTTATCTAATAACATACAGTATATACACGGATATAGAGTATATACACGGTGTGCAAGATTTTTTGGAAAAGAAAAATTGTAAAAATTAATCAGATCAAACTGAGAAGAAAAGTCATTTTGCAAAAATCGCAATAGTTATCATGTTATTAATGATTGAAAATGACCACATCTAGAAGCTTTTTTGATAATTGATAATTATTGCGATTTTTTCAAAATAACTTTTCTTCTCAGTTTGATCTGATTATATAATATCCACAATTTTTTATTTACAAAAGATTTCGGACACCCTGTATATATAATATTATTGTTATATTTAATAACAATAAGAGCGTAAATATTGTTAACAATACGATGCCGTGCGATTTTCATCGCACATGTAGATTTTATTCGAAATATTATTCCCAATAACGGATATCTATAGGTATACAACTCTTACGTCCTTAGTTTAGACTGCTATCTCACGCTGTAAACAAATGCTCGAAACGCTAAGAAACAGAATATTTGCAATAACGAACTAATTATTTGCACTGTGTACATCATGTTTCGCACGTTATTTCTGAGTTAACGTTGCAAGTAAAGTATTTCCGCAACTTTAACCATACGGACGTGGTTAATTTAATATATTGACGTGGACCTAATAAGTGGAGTTCTTCCATAATATAAATCACGAATGCCTCTACGTAATGATAAGGTTTTTCATCCGAACCTTTGCCACATTTGCAAGGAGAAAAGAGGAGTGGTAAGATTAGTAACATGTAATCGATGCTTCATGATTTCATACTGCTCCGAAGATCACAAAAAGCTGCATTTTCCGCAACATCGCAAATTTTGCACAGCTTTAGAAAAGTTCTTGAAGGACGACCCGAAATGGTTCACTCGCCGTTTTACTCGGGACGAATGGTATAAAGCACAGAGCCAATTGTGTGTGTCAGTTGCAATAGATCTAAGGCGTATACTTGAGAAATATGAAATACAAATGTTCATATTCGCTAGATCATGCTTAATTTGTCACCAACAGACCGGACTGTATTCCTGCATAAAATGTTTATCCGCCGACTATTGTCTAGAACATAAGGAACAGTTCGGACAGCAACATTACAGTATCTGCGACCTTTTGAAATTGTGGCTGAAACTTGAGTTCTCAAATTTCGAATATAGGAGTATAATACCACTAAAATTGAAATTCATGATATTTCCTGATTCGAATAAGCCTTTTAATGACATGGCCACGTTTGTCACACAATATATACGAGAGGATGCTCGCCAATGGCATACCTTGGATTACATTTATACCGATTATGCGTCAGGACCGATGACGATATTTTACGGGATAAAAGAAACAAAGTTATTAAATTTTCTAGAAATCGGTCCGATTTATATTATTCATGTTATAGATGCAAAAGACGTAGATAGACAGAGTTTACCAGCTTGGGAAATATTATTACATCTCATACCTAAGATAAAGGTATTAATAATTGTAATGATAGGTCGAGAACTACAAGAAAAACTTGATACGCACGACCTTTGTTACTGTTGCTGTTGCAATAGAAAGAAGCTCATCTATGAATTCTGTGCTATGTCATACAGTGAATATCTGTCTAATCCGATATATGGGAAAGCAAATCTAATCGTAGGATTTCACGCGACATTAAAATATATGTCACCATCATGGAAGAAATGTTTAGTCTCAATGCAATCTCGAGACTGTTCGTTACTCTTAACCACTGCAAAGCTATCTTCTTTGAGAAGAATTATTAATGACATACGGGAAGTTCTAGGTACAACTGTAAATCCTGTTCGTTGTATCCAGAACAGATTCAAAGCTCTAATACCACACAGAAGCTTTGAATCTGTGTATTATCGTAATTCGTATGTAATTATTTACAAGACATTAAGGAACCAATCCAGTAACAAATCAATATGATTGCACTTCGGTAACATGAATTATACACGAAACGAAAATACAATGGTTTCTCTATTCAATTAGTTGTGTAATATAATAATGAAAATCTAAAAGGCGTTTAAAATATGTTTAATGTCTCTCCAATCAATATTTCTTTTCCGTGTAAATAATGTACTAGGTAGAATGTTTATATGATATATACATACATATATATATATATATGTTTATATATATGTATGCATGTATATACATTTATATACCTATACAAAATGATTCCATATAATACATTTTTCAAAGAAAATAAATTATTATTATATATATTATTTTATTATAATAAACATATTATTTTAATTTTTGAGTCAATAACTACAGTACGTCATACATATATGAGAAAACTGTATTACATTTTATGTATCATGCATATATTATTATAAAGGGGAATATTTAATAGTACAGTGTCTCATAATCTTCTATTGCTGTGAAAATCGGACTTTTTAAAGTCGTTATTAAATGATATCTAGAGAAATTAGAACATCTTTAAATGTCTCCAATTTACAAGTCTCAGTATCAATTGAAACAAAGAAATAAAACATATAAAACAAAGAATACCGGAAATATTTGTATGTATGTATCTCTAAGACATTTGTTTACGTATAAAGAATCATGACACTTTATCTTTTACATTTTAACATAGCATGCGTGTATACATTCTTTATAAGTAATAGAAACAAAACGACAAAAATTCCCTCACCTTTTGGTATTTGTATGCATATAACACAAATAAGTAAAAACAATAGATGAGATAATTCTAATTCAAATAAATAAAAATAACTATAATGCGAAAAAATTAATAAGCGATTGAAAACATTTAAACCAGTATTGTAAAAGTATCCGTGTATAATTGAAAACAGAGTTTCTTATAAACGGTTCAAGAATATTTCAGTTTCATATTGATGTCATCCACAACTTTATACATGTAAATAAAATGCTCATGAAGCGTTAATTGGTTTGTATTTTTTATATCACCTATTTAGCAAATCATCTTTTATTTATTAACATATGAAAATTTCTTTCATTTATTATAATAAAGTAAAGTCACAATAAATTATAGTACGAAGTGTTTGAATTCTACATATCCCGATTACCTCGATAAGATTCATTTAACAAAGCACTGATAAAGCAGACTGACATAAAAATTACAAGCAACAACATGATGCTGTGCGACATCGTCCGTACGTTTCTCATTTATTCATAATATTACTTGCGGCAATAAATATCTGTAGCCATCTAGACCTATGTCCTTAGTTCAGATTGCCTATGTATCTATCTGTGTAAACAACACTCCAAATACTTAGAAACATACGAAAACATTTTATTAGTAACTTTTAAGCAATCTACGTGTAAGTATTAATACTGTGTATCCAGAGAATTCTATTATTTCTGCTAAGGTGCTGAGTACCGTGTATTATTTCTAAATTGATATTGCAGATTCAGTATTATATCATTAGTTATATAGACATACTAACATGGACATAACAAAGACATTATTTCCTTACTCTGGACCATGGGAGTCTGTACATTACAATAAGATCTTCCATCCAAACCTTTGCCATGTTTGCAAGAAGACTAGAGAAGTGGTAAATCTGATAACATGTAATCAATGTTTTTTGATTTCTTATTGCTCGGAAGATCACAAAAACTTGCATCTTCCTCAACACCGCGAGATTTGCACAGTTATAGAAAAGTTCTTGAAGATCAATCCGCAATATCTTACTCGCCGTTTTAGTCTGAAGGAATGGTTAAAAGCACAAAATGAATTTTATCAATCAGTTCAAAAGGATGTAGGGCGTGCTCTTGAGAATTACGAAACTGAAATATTTGTCTTCGCAAGATCATGTATTATTTGTTATCAGCAGACCGGACTGTATTCCTGTAAAAGATGTTTGTCCATCGACTATTGTCTAGAACACAAGGAAGATTTCGAACAGAAACATACACAAATGTCCTGCGACTATTTGATACTATGGCTCAATCTTGAGCTTTCAAATGTTCAGTATGAAAGTGCAGACTTATTATCGTCAAAATTTATGAAGTTTCCCGATGATAATAGACCTTTCCATGACATGGCAACATTTATAGAAGAATATGTACAAAACGAAAAGGGTGTATGGTACGCCTTGGATTATATCTATAGCGATTACGTGTCAGGACCGCTCTCGATATATTATGGAATGCATCAGGCAAGATTAATTGATATTCTACTGGACAAATCTACCTATATCATTCATGTTATAGCAGCATCTTATATAGAAAGAAACAGTTTACCGGCTTGGGAAATATTGTTACATCTTTTACCAAATATAGAAGTACTAATAGTTGTATTGATAGGAATAAATTTACAATTTGAATTTGGTATACAGGACATTTGTCCCAATTGCGTTTGCAATAAGAAGAAATTTATCTATGAATGCTGTGGTATGTTGTATACTGATTACATGGGAAATCCGATGTATGGAAGAGCGGACCTGATCGTAGGTTTAGAATCACTGTTCGACTTTGAATCATTGATGGGATATTTAAAAACAATGCAATCTCAGGACTGTCCTGTGCTACTTTTCACTACTCTATTAGAGACAGAAGAAATAGATAAGATTCAGGTAGTTCTGGGTAGAGATGTATATCCTGTTATCAGCATGAGAAATGAATTCGAATCTCAAAGACCATACAGATTCTTTAAATATATTATTTATCGTAATTCGTATTTGATTCTTTACAAGACATTAAAAAATACAAACTATACGACTGAAAACAGTAGTTAAACTTGCATATAATTATAATATCCACTTATAATCCCACTTTGACAGGAAAAGAAATTAGTTGAATTGACGTAACAATAAACAGAATAAAATGTGTTTGTCGCGTCTATTGTCTCGTTACTTACGTCAATTATTCTCCGAATAAATAGTGTGCTAGGTAAATTGTTTACACAAATAAATTAAAATTTCCATAATGAAACTGTGTGTGTGTGTTATATATTTTTCAAGAAAATATAAAATACATAAACCACTTAATAGTAAATATGTTTTCTTTTTTTGTTTGAATGAATAACTTCTTCACATCCCACACATATGCATTTTATTACATTTTATACATCTTCTTATTTTTATGGTTTTTCATGAAATATGGCGTGCAGCTTATCACATTTATTTAGGTTCTTTGCAAATACATTACGTCTAAATATATATATTAGAGCTCTCATGCACAGGTGAAGGTCATTAAATCGAATCAAAATATCTTACACTATTATATAAAATTCTATTTTCATTAGTGAAAATTTAATGCAAGAATATTGATAAATAAGTATGCAAGATGCGATGGGATAAACTCTTTGAAGTAAAGCCTCTTTCAATGTGATATGGATATGGATCTCTTGACAACTATAAACGGTAATGTTGGGCAATAAAAACGGAATTTGATAATATTTGTTCATGTAACAAGTTTTTATTGTCTATCATTAAGTATTATTCGCCGTTACTAAAATATTATAAGTAGTCAAAAACATATGATATTCAAGCACTTTATTATTGTATTCTGAAAAATTGCTGAATGCACTTTAATATTACATAGACTCCCAATTTTTATATTTTAATAAATTTTTATAAATCTAATATAAATTGTTTTATAAAATTTTAATTATTGTTAATAAATAACTAATTAAGTTTAATAATTTTTATAAATTTTATAAACAAATTTGAAATATATAAACCACTTGTTTTTAATAAATAGTTATAAATAAATAATAAATAATTGTACGATAATGTTATATATTGCGCTAAATGCTATTGCTAACAACGATATATAGATTACTAATTGCGATTTATGCTAATAAATGTAATTCTAGATATATATTTTGTCAGTTTTATATTTTCCAGATAGTAGGGTAATTATCAGAATAATAAATCAGATGCAAATTTACATGCTTTTATTTCCTATTATGTATACCGTGTAGCAAAAAGTTAATGAGAAAATATTTTTGGAAAATCGTACATATTTCTTGCCACAAATATAACTCCTGAAAAACTAATTTTCTTTATTCAGACAAATGTATGTAGGAATGTATATAGGACGTTAAGTATAAGCGTGCTGGCATATAAAACATTAAAATTTAAGTTTAAAATGTTAGTTGAGATTAAAGATATCAGAATAATCGAAAAATAAGCGATAAGTCTCAACTAGAGAGAAAATAGAAGATAAAATCAAAAAAGAGTATTATTCACGGTTTGAAAAAAGCAAAATATTCTTATTTTGAAAAAAGCCGACAAATTCTTTTGCAAAAATTATTTATCTTGAGAATGATAGTTTTTACCATTTGTTAGCGCACCTCAATTTCCGTAATAGTAAAGAATTTTATTTTCAATTTTACATTTGGTTCGATCGTGAGTTGAACATTTTCCTTCGTCTTCGTAGCAGGCAAAATTAAAGAAAACAGAGGTTAACACGCCGCGTGTCAATTGCAGGTTAACAAAAATTATGAAAATGATGTGTGCAATATTATTACATACGTCGACGAATTCATCGCCTTAAGCGCTCAATGTAAGCGCCTGCGTCTAATGGTGAATTGTGCTCTTCATATCTACTTCATACATCCGAATAGTAATAAATAAACTACTTACCTTTATAACTCAGAAACTAAACTTCAAATATGATTTGGTAAAAAGAAGAATTATCTTAGAATTCATTGAATGAAGCACATGTCATTTCAAGAACAGCAAGTTGCTCTGAATTGTTCTACATAAAAAGCTATTAAAGATTATATATAAATTTTTTTAACATGAAATATTTTTTAAATTTTAGAAATGATTTTTATTTAGTTTAATTTTCACTACTTTACTTTACTTTATTTAATTTTCATCTCATTTTCCTTTGCAGATATTTATATAACATATATCAGCAATTTGTAGAAAATTTTCCTTTTCCATATATGGATATTATTTTCTTTCATATTATTTAAATCGGACGAAAAAATAAGAAAATATGACGCCTTTTTCAACTGTTTCTGTTTTGAAAAATATCGACGACAAAACAATGTCTTGCGACATTGTTACGTTTGAAATTTATTCACAATATTATTTACGATAATAAAAATATAAATATTTGTAATTATCTAGTCCTATGCCCTCAGTTTAGATTGACTACGTCTCAAACTGTAAACAATTCTCGAAATGCCTAGGATCAAATATAAGCAATTTATTAGTAAGGTTCAAGCAATCCACGAATAACCATATTATCACGAGTACTGTGTATACAGCGGATTCTATTATTTATACCAAGGTACCGAATACTGTTTATAATTTCTAAATTGATATTGCAGACTCAGTATTATATCATTAGTTATATACAGGCATATTAACAATTAATGGACATAACAAAGACATTATTTCCATACTCTGGAAAATGGACGCCTATATATTATAATAAGATCTTTCATCCAAACCTTTGCCACATTTGCAAGAAAACTAGAGAAGTGACAAATCTGACAACATGTGATCGGTGTTTCTTAATCTCTTATTGTTCTGAAGATCACAAAAACCAGCACCTTCCTCAACACCGCGAGATTTGCAGAGCTATGAGAAAGTTTTTGAAGAACAACCCGTTATATCTCACTCGCAGTTTTAGTTTTACGGAATGGTTCAAAACACAAAATAAGTTTCGTCAATCAGTTCGAAAGGATCTAAGGCGTATGCTTAAGAATTACGAAACTCAAATGTTCGTCTTCGCAAGATCATGTTTTATTTGTTATCAGCAAACCGGACTGTATTCCTGCAAAAGATGTTTGTCCATCGACTATTGTCTAGAACACAAGGAAGATTTCGAACAGAAACATGCACAAATGTCCTGCGACTATTTGATACTATGGCTCAATCTTGAACTCTCAAATGTTCAGTATGAAAGTACAGCCTCATTATCGTTGAAATTTATGAAGTTTCCCGATAACAAAAGACCATTCAATAATATGGAAAAATTTATAGAAGAATATGTACAAGATAAAAAGGGCGAATGGAACGCCTTGGATTATATATACACCGATTACGTGTCAGGACCGCTATCGGTATATTATGGTATATCACACGCGGAATTGTCTGATGTTTTACTGTCGGGAATTACCTGTATTATTCATATTATAGAAGCAGGTTCCACAGAAAGAATAGGTTTACCAGCTTGGGAAATATTGTTACATCTTTTCCCAAATATTCAAGTACTAACAGTTGTATTGTTAGGAACAGGCTTACAACTTGAAGGTGGTAGACAGGAGATTTGTCGCCGTTGCGTTTGCGATGCGAAGAGATTTATCTATGAATGTTGTGATATGACATACAGAAATTACATGGCCAATCCCATAAATAGCAAAGCGGACCTAATCGTAGGTTTTGAATCAATATTCCAATCTGAATCATTTGACGAATGTTTAAGAACAATGCAATCTCAGAAATGTCCTGTACTTTTAACCACTTCCTTCGAGACAGCATTCGAAGAAATAGATGAGATTCAGGTAGTTCTTGGTAAAGATGTATGTCCTATTATTAACGTTAAAAATGAATTCAGTTCTCTAAGACCATACAGACCCTATAACTATATTATTTATCGTAATTCATATTTGATTGTCTACGAAACATTAAAGAATATAAACTGTACGACTAAAAACAGTAGTTAAAATTGCATATAATTATAACTCCACTTTGGTGACAGAAAAAGAAATTAATTGATTCAACGTAACAATAAACAGAGCGAAATATATTTGTCGCGTTCATTGTCTCATTAATTAAATCAATTATTCTCCGAATAAAAAGTATACTAGGTTACTTGTTTATGCAAATAAATTAAACCTTCCTTAATGAAATTCTATATGTATATGTATGCATGTGTTATACATTTTTCAAAAAAATATGAAATAGATAAGTCACTTATAGTAAACGTGTTTCCTCTTTTTTGTTTGAATAAATGACTTCTTTACATTGTACATATGAATATCATTACATTTTATATACATTTTTCATTACATCTTACTTATATGGTTTTTCATGATATATGACGTGCAGCTTATCACATTTATTATGTTCTTTGTAAATACATTGCGTCTAACTTAATATGTCCGAGCATTCATGTGCAAATGAAGATCATCCAACACAATATAAATATCTTCTATTATTATATAAAATTCTATTTTACTTACTGGCAATTAAAAGCAAAAGTATTTACAAATAAGTATGTAACATGCGATGGGATAAACTTTTCAAAGCGAAATCTCTTTCAAGATGATATGGATCTCTTGACAAACTTTTAACAACCATAGATAGTAATGCTGGATAATAAAAACACGGGGTTTGATAATATTCGCTCATATTACAAATTTTCATTGTTTATCATTAGGCATTATCTGCCGTTACTAAAATAAGTTGTCAAAGGAATATAAGAAATTCAAGCACTTTGTTATTGAGTTCCGAACAATTGTCGAATGCACTTTAATATTTAATATTGCATAGACTCCCGATCTTTACATTTTTATAAATTTCGATCTTTACATTTTCATAAATTTCTAAACCTTTTTATAAAATTTTAATTATTGTTAATAACTGTTAATAATGATTGTTAATAAGTTAAGTTAATAAGCAATCTTAATAATTTTTATAAATATAAAAAAATTGGAATATATAAACCACTTAATTTTAATAAATAATTATAAATAAATAATAAATAGTTGTGAGATGATGTTATGTATTGCGCTAAGTGCTATTACTAACAATAATATATAGATTATTAGTTGTGATTTATACTAATAAATATAATTCCAGATATATATTTTATCAGTTTAATATTTTCCAGATATATATAAGTAGGATAATTATATAAGTAGGATAATTATTAGAATAAGAAATAAAACGCAAATTTATATGCTTTTATTCCCTATTACATATACTGTGTAGCGAAAAAATAATGAGAAAATATTTTTTGAAAACCATGTATATTTCTTGCCACAAATATAACTCTTGAAAAACTAATCTTTTTTATTCAGACGAATGTATGTAGGACGTTAAGTATAGGCGTGCTAGCATTTAAAACATTTAGTTTAAGATGATTGTTGAGATTAAAAATATCGGGGTGATCGAAAAGTAAACTATAAGTCTCAGCAAGAGAGAAAATAGAAGATAAAATCGAAAAAGAGTATTATTCACGGTTTGAAAAAAACAAGATACCCTTATTTTGAAGAAAGTCGACGAATTCTTTTGTAAAAATTATTTATCTTGAAAATGATAGTTTTTATCACTTGTTATAGCGCACCTCAGTTTCCGTAATAGTAAAGAATTCTATTTTCAATTGTACATTCGATTCGATCATGAGTTGTGTATTTTTATTTGTCTTCGTGACGGTCAAAATTAAAGAAAACAGAAATTAATTAACACGCCGCGTGTTGCTCACAGGCTAACAAAAATTATGAAAATGATGTGTGCAATGTTTTTACATATGTCGATGAACTCATTGTATTAGAAATACAATATAAGCGCCTGCGTCTGATAAGTTGTACTCTTTCCTATCTACTTTATACATCCGACCCGTAATAAGCAAACTATTATATTTATCTTTATAATTTATCTTTAATAATTTATCTTTATAATTTACCTTTATTTACCTTTATAACTCAAAAACTAAGCTTCGGATAACATTTGGAAAACGGGAAAATTATCTTAGAATTCGTTGAGTAGAGAACATATTTCATGGACAGCAAATTGTTTTGAATTGCTCTGTATAGAGAGCTGTTGAAGTTTGTATATAAATTTTTTTAATATGTAATATTTTTTAGATTTTAACAGAAATTATTCTTATTTAGTTTAAATTTCTTTACTTTTCTTTACTTTATTTAATTTTCATCTCACTTTCCTTTGCAGAAATTTATATAACATCTATTAATTCTTAGAAAATCTTCTTTTTCAATATATGGGTATTATTTCCTTTTATATTTTTTAAATTGGACGAAGAAATGAGAAAATATGACGCCTTTCTCAACTGCCATTTCGAAAAATATTGACAACAATATGATGTGCTGCGAACAATACAATACGCCATATGTTTCAAATTTTCAAATTTTCACAATATTATTTGCGGTAATAAACATAATATATATTTATAGCTATTAGGTATATATAAATATATATTTATAGGTATTATTTTCTTAGTTCAGATTGTCTACGTCTCAAACTGTAAACAGCCCTCGATGGTTAGAAGCAAACTTAAGCAATTTATTAGTGACGTTCGAATAATCCACGAGTAATCATACTGTCATCAGTACTGTGTATACAGCGGATTCTACTATTTCTGCTAAAGTGCCGAGTACCGTGTATTATTTCTAAATTGATATTGCAGATTCAGTATTATATCATTAATTATATACAGGCATATTAACATGGACATAACAAAGACATTATTTCCATACTCTGGAAAATGGATGTCTATATATTACAATAAGATCTTTCATCCAAACCTTTGCCACATTTGCAAGAAAACTAGAGAAGTGACAAATCTGACAACATGTGATCGGTGTCTCTTAATCTCTTATTGCTCCGAAGATCACAAAAACTTGCATCTTCCTCAGCACCGCGAGATTTGTACAGCTATAGAAAAGTATCTGAGAAATAACTCGCAATATCTCACTCGCCGTTTTAGTCAGGAGGAATGGTTGCAAGCAAATACTAAATTTTATTTTAATGTTATACAAGATCTATGGCATATGCCTGAGGCTTATGAGAGGCAAATGTTCAACTTCGCTAGATTATGCTTTATTTGTCATCAGCAGACCGGACTATATTCCTGCAAGAAATGTTTGTCCGTTGACTATTGTCTAGAACACAAGGAAAAATTCGAGGAGTTACATCACAGGCTTTGCGATGCTTTGACACTGTGGCTCAATCTTGAGCTCTCAAATGTTCAGTATGAAACTACAGCCTCATTATCGTTAAAATTTATGAAGATTCCTGATAGCAAAAGACCATTCAATAATATGGAAAAATTTATAGAAGAATATATACAAGATAAAAAGGGCGAATGGAACGCCTTGGATTACATCTATAGCGATTACGTGTCAGGACCGCTTTCGGTATATTATGGGATGTACCACGCCGGATTATTTGATGTTCTATTGACGGAATCTACCTGTATCATTCATATTATAGGAGCAGAGTCCATAGAAAGAGATGGTTTACCAGCTTGGGAAATATTGTTACATCTTTTCTCAAATATACAAGTGCTAATAGTTGTATTGTTAGGAACAGACTTACAATTTGAATTTGAATCTGGCATGCAAGAAATTTGTCCCCGTTGCACTTGCAATAAGAAAACATTCATCTATGAATGTTGTTCTACGACATATAGTGATTATATGGTTAATCCGACGTACGGAAGAGCGAATCTCATCGTAGGTTTTCATGCAGTATTCGAAACTGTAACATGGGACGAATGTTTAGAGACAATGCAATCTCAGGAATGTCCGGTACTTTTAACCACTCCATCAGAGAGGATATCGTTAATAGAAATAACTGAGACTCAGAAAGTTCTGGGTAAAAATGTATGTCCTGTTAATATTGAAAATGAATTCGCGTCTCTAAGACCATATAGAGACTTTAAATATATCTATTATCGTAATTCGTTTTTGAATATCTACAAAATATTAAAGAATACAAGCTGTGCGATTGAAAACAGTTCAAATTACATATAAATATGTTTCCACTTTGGTGACAGGCAAAAAAATTGAATGGTTTAACGCAACAATAAACAGGACAACACGAATTTGGTGCGTTTCTTGTCTGGTTAATGAAATCAATTATTCTCCGAATAAATAGTATGCCAGGTTAATTGTTCACACAAATAAATTAAAATGTCCTTAATGAGACTATGTATGTGTATGCATGTGTTATACATTTCTCAAAAAGATATACATGAACTACTTAATATAGTAAATATATTTTCTTTTTTCTTTTGTTTAAATGAATGACTTCTTTACATCACACATATGGATTTCATTACATTTTATACATCTTCTTATTTTTATTGTTTTTCATGATATATGACGTGCAACTTATCACATTTATTATGTTCTTTGTAAATACATTGCGTCTAAATTTATATGTTTGAGCGCTGGTAAAGGATCTAACAGAATAGAAATATCTTCTATTATTATATAAAATTCTATTTTTATTACTGACAATTTATTGCAAGAATATTCACAAATAAGTATTCAAAATGTAATGAGATGATCTCTTTGAAATGAAATCTCTTTCAAGATGATGTGGATCTTTTGACGATCTTTTGATAACCGCAGATACGTAATGCTGGACAATAAAAACACGGAATTTGATAATATTTACTTGTATTACGAATTTTCATTGTCTACCATTAGGCATTATCCGCTATCATTAAAATAGATTGTCACAGGAACACAAAAAATTCAAGCACTTTATTATTGTATTTTAAACAATTATCGAATGTATTTTAATATTACGTAGACTCCTAATCTTTATATTTTCATACATTTTTATAAATTGTTTTTCTAAAATTTTGATTATTGTTAATTAATTATTCTTAATAATTTTCATAAATTTTATAAAAAATGTTCGAAATATATAAACCACTTGATTTTAATAAAAAATTATGATTTTAATAAATAACTTCTTAATTATTTAATAAATATAAGGTTTTAATAAATAACATCTTAATTTTTATTAAATATAAGATTTTAATAAATAACTTCTTAATTATTTACTAAATATAAGATTTTAATAAATAATTATAAATGGATAATAATTAATTGTAAGATAATATTATATATTACGCTAAGTGCTTTTGTTGACAATAAGATATAGAGTCTTAGTTATAATTTAATGAAATGTTGATAAACATAATTCTAGAAATGTATTTTGTCAATTTTGTATTTCTCAGATAGTAGGATAATTATTTAAATAAAGAATAGTTACCTCCTATTAAAGCTCAGTGCTCTTCCTCCACGCGTCCTCGGGACCGTGTAATTTATAGCTGGCCTCAGGTCCGAAAAGGCCTCAGAATGACAGGGATCGTCGTTCCCTCTCTGCGCTCTTTGATATGCTTGATGTGCTGGTTGCCACTCCGCCCTCCCTGCAGGCGTCACTGGCACGTTTGTCATACAGGACTTTGTAAATAGTTGCGTTGTTATATTGCATTCTTATTGCATTTTTTCTGTGCCGTACAATAAGATCTTTCATCCAAACCTTTGCCACGTTTGCAAGAAGACTAGAAAAATGATAAATTTGACAACATGTAATCGGTTTTTTCTGTGAGAATATTCATTAGTTGTGCAAAAAATGAAGTAAAATTATCAAAAATAATGGAGGTTATTTCGAATAATAAACGCGCATTTGTTTTTTTGTGCTTAAACTCTGAATTTCATGAAGAAAGGCACTAAATTAATTTGTACGTTTAATATATGAATATTATTTCTTTTCATATTGTTTAAATCGGATAAAAAACGTGAAAATATGGCGCTTTTTTCAACTTCCATTTAAAAAAATATTGACGATAATACAATGTCCTGTGACAGCCGTTATACATTTCAAATTTGATCATAATTACTTCCGATAACAAATATTCGTAGCAAATCCCCATATCCTTCAAATTGCCTACATCTTAAACTGTAAACAACTTTCGAAATATTCCGAACCATATATAAGCACTTTATTAGTGACGTCCAAGCAATCCAAGAATAACCATATTGCCATTAGTACTGTATGCACAGAGAATTCTATTATTTCTGCTAATGTCGAATGCGTATTATTCCTAAATTGATATTGCAGATACAGTATCATATCATTAGTTACACAGGCATACTAACATGGATATAACAAAGACATTATTTCTATATACTGGACCATGGACGTCTATACATTACAATAAGATCTTTCATCCAAACCTTTGCCACGTTTGCAAGAAGACTAGAGAAATAATAAATTTGACAACATATAATCGGTGTTTCTTGATCTCTTACTGTTCCGAACATCATAAAAACTTGCACCTTCCTCAACACCGCGAGATTTGCACAGCTTTAGAAAAATTCCTGAAGAACAATCCGCAACATCTCACTCGTCGCTTTACTCAGAAAGAGTAGTTAGAAGCACAGAATCAATTTTATCAATCAATTATACAGGATCTAGAACGTGGACTTGAAGTTAACGAAAAGCAAATGTTCATCTTCCCTAGATTTTGCTTAATTTGTCATCAACAGACAGGACTGTATTCCTGCAAAAAATGTTTGTCCGCCGACTATTGTTTAGAACATAAGAAAGAATTCGAGGAGCTACAACACAGTCTTTGCGATGTTTTGACACTGTGACTAAATCTTGAGCTCTTAAATGTTCAATACGAAAGTAAAGCCTCATTATCGTTGAAATTTATGAAGTTTCCTGATAACGATGGACCCTTCAATGACATGGCAAAATTTATAGAGGAATGTATACAAAATAAAAAGGGCGTATAGTGCGCTTTAGATTACATTTATACCGATTACGTATCAGGACCATTCTCAGTATATTATGGAATGTACTATGCAGGACTACTTGATGTTCTACTGAACGCATCTATCTATATCATTCATATTATAGCAGCAAGCTCCATAGAAAGAAACGGTTTACCAGCTTGGGAAATATTGTTACATCTATTACCAGATATGCAAATGCTAATAGTTATATTAGTAGGAACAGATTTACAATTTGAATTTGGTATGCAAGAGGTTTGTCCCCGTTGTGTTCGTAATAAGAAGAAGTTTATCTATGAATGTTGTTGTATGAAATATAGCGCTCACGTAACCAATTCAGTATATAGAAGAGCGAACCTGATCATAGGTTTTCAAACAATATTAAAGTTAACAATGTTAAAGTTTAAAACATGAGATAAATGTATAAAGACAATGCAATTTCAGGAATGCCCAGTACTTTTATCCACTCCATCGCAGAATATAGCATTAGAAGAAGTAACTGAGAAAATTCTAGGTAGAAATGTACGTCCTATTATTGGCGTTATAATGAATTCAAATCTCTAAGACCATATAGAGGCTTTAAATATATGTATTATCGTAATTCATTTTTAATTGTCTACAAAACTTTAAAAAATAACGAGTAGCACAACTAGCAGTAGTTAAAATTGCATATAATTATATCTCCATTTTGGTGACAGGAAAAGAAATTGGTTAAATTGATTTAATATAATAATAAACAGAGTAAAACGTATTTGGTGCGTTCATTGTCTTGTTAATTAGAACAATATTTATTCTCCGTATAAATAGTATGCTAGGTTAATTGTTTCCGCGAAAAAGCTGAAATTTTCTTAATGAAATTATATATGTGTGTGTGTATGTATTATATATTCAAAAAAAATATGAAGTATATAAATTACATGATAGCAAACATATTTTTTTTGTTTGTTGAATAAATAACACTTTTACATCATATATATTGATTTAATTATATTTTATATATCTTCTTATTTATATAGTTTTTCATGATATATGATGTGCAGTTTATCACATTTATTATGTTCTTTGTAAATATTATACAGGGTGTCCGGAATGTAATCATTAATATTTTATGTACTGGTAGAACTCGTTAAAACAATTAAAAAAGTCCTGTGCCATTTTACAATTTTTTCAATATTTATTCCGTAATTAATTAAAATGTGTAAATGAATGAGCGCACGAGAAAGCGACAGGACGGGCTCTGTGTATAAGAAGATGGCTTACCTCGCGCGGCGAAAGGCAACCTTAAGCGACAAGAGGCATGCGCGCGCGATGAGGAGCGAGCGAGTGCGAACGACGAACGAGCGAGCGCAAGCGACAAGAGGCGGCCGCCCAACGCTCTTTATGCGCTCATTGGCTCACATGTTTCAATTAATAACTCGATAACTATTGCCAATTTGACATTACGGTATATAACTTTTCTTCTCGGCTACACCCAATCTACCAGTACACAAAATATTAATGATCACATTCCGGACACCCTGTATATTGCGTCTAAATTTACATGTCCAAGCGCTCATGCATAGGTAAAGATCATCAAACGGAATAGAAATATCTTGTACTATTATATAAAATTCTATTTTTATTATTAAAAATTGAATGCAAGAATATTTACAAATAAGTATACAAAATGCGATGGATTAAGTTCTTTGAAGTGTAGTCTCTTTCAAGATGAATCTCTTAACAATCTTTTGACAACCGTAGACGGTATGCAATGCTGAACAATAAAAACGCGAAGTTTGATAATATTCGCTTGTATTACGAATTTTCATTGTCTATCATCCACCATTGCTAAAGTAAATTGTCAAAAGAGCACAAGAAATTCAAGCAATTTATTATTGTATTCCGAACAATTGCTGAATACACTTTAATATTGCACGGACTCTCAACTTTCATATTTTCATAAATTTTTATAAAACTAATTATTACTAATAATTAATTATTACTAATAATTAATTATTCTTAATAATTTTTATAAGTTTTATAAAAGAATTTGAAATATATCAACCACTTGATTTTAATAAATAATTTTACTAAGTAATTTCTTAATTATTTATTAATTATAAAATTGTAATAAATAATTATAAATAAATAATGAATAATTGTAAAATAGTGTGTACCACAATTACTTCGATAAGATTCATTTAATAGGATACAGACTAGCATAAAAATGGGTAACAATAAGATGTCAAGCGACATTGGCCTGTTGGAAATTTATTCGCAATATTACGTGTACGGTAACGGATATTCACAATTACGTTATGTTTCTAGTTCATATTGTATATATCTAAGACTGTAAACAACTGTCGGAACCTACGGGAACATATGTTGACACATTATTAATGCCATTGGAACATTCATCGAGTGACTATCTATCTTGTACGAGCACACAATTCTATTACTTTCGCTAAGGTTTGCAGTGCTACCTATTATTTTTTATATAACATTTAATTTCCGATATCATAAATAAACTATTTATAAACATCAATTACAGAACCATATTGATATGGACATAAATAAAGTACTTATATATTGCGGACCACGGACGTCTCTATATTACAATAAGTTTTTTCATCCAAGCTTGTGTCATGTTTGCAAGGATAAAAAGAAGGCGGTAACAAAATGCGATCGGTGCTGCTTGGTCTCTTACTGCAGCGAAGATCACAAAAATCTGCATTTACCACAACACCGCGAATTTTGCGAAGCAGTAGAACAATTTTTGTTGGAGGACTCGAAATGGTTTACTCGTCGAGGCACGTTGCAAGAATGGATCGATACACAAATTTATTTTGGTGGATCAATCCAAAAGAATATATCCCGTGAATTTGAGGAATATGAAACGCAGATATTCGAATACGCAAAATCGTGCCTTATCTGTCATCAACAGATTAATCTGTATACCTGCAACAAATGCATGTCCGCCGAATTTTGTCTGGGACACAAAGAGAAATTTGAACAAGAACATGAATCCGAGTGTACGAATTTATTATTATGGCTTAATATACAGTTGTCATATTTCCAAATTCAAAGTAAAATTTCATTATCAATGAAATTCTTGAACTTTCCTGATGATAATAGACCTTTCGATGACATGGCAACGTTTATTATACAATATGTACAAGAAGAAATTGGTCAATGGTACGCCGTGGACTATATTTATACTGATTACGTATCAGGACCACTGACGTTACATCATGGGATGAAGGAAGCAAAGTTATTGCATTTACTAGAGACCGGGTCTATTTATATTATTCACGTTGTAGGCGCAAATTCTGAAGATAGATACGGTTTACCTGCTTGGGAAATGTTGTTACATCTCTTACCTAACATAAAGATACTGATAATTGTGTTTATAGGGCCAGATTTACAAGATGAATTGGGTATCCACGAGCTTTGTCTCCGTTGCAGGAATAATAAGAAAAAATTGATCTTTGAATGTTGTCCTACGTTTTATCATGATTATGTTGCTAAAGGGATATATAAGCAACCTAATTTGATCATAGGATTTAATACATTATTATCATATACAGAAACATGGTCGGAAAGTATAATAGCAATGCAGGCTCTAAATTGTCCGATACTTTTAACCGCTAGAGATCTAATTACGATGGAAGATGAAATAGATGAGATACAGATAATTCTGGATACTGCTATAAATCCCGTTTTTTGGGGTAGTAATAAATTCAAATCTCTAAGACCGCATAGATACTTCAATGAACTATATTTTCGTAATTCGTATTTATTTATCTACGATACTTTGAACAATTACAGCAATGAAGACGAAAAGCAGCAAAAGATATGTAAGATACGTGTAAACATATTCACTCTTTAATAAGGTGTTTTATAAATAACGTACACTCGGCTATAAAAATGGTTTGCATATTTTTCTCTCGATACAATTATAATATTCTAAGTTGTCTGAGTTAGGAGATATTATTCATACGTTTACGCAGTAATCACTTGGAATAGAAGCTACATAACAACGTATAATATACATAATATAATTACGATGAGACAATCGAAAACAAGAAACATGTTAATCTCTTCATTATATTTCTATATTTCTATATATCATAGAAATATAATAAAAAACCGATGTTTTTATATCTAAACTTTTACTTCGACTTAGAATAAGTAAAATATAAACATCATTTAAAAATATATAATTTTTTTCTTCAAGTCAGCAACTTCTTTATGACATACGTAATAACAGTATTATATTTTATCTAATATATTTTTATGATTGTTTACGAAACATGATGACCTGGGTGTCTCATTTAATTGTCTCGTTTCTTGTGCAAATGACAATTCTTATTTAGGACATCTAACGCAAGCCGTACCAACGCTTGTGTGCATAAAGAACAAACTAAGCAACAACATCGTTACGATGTCGCAAACACCGCGTAAAGTTTTATTTTATTAAGGAAAGTAATTTGACGAATCAGCGCGCATAATGCAGATAAAACGAAATAACAGAGATCAGTATCGGACGAGTGGGAAAGGAAAAGTGCGAATGGCGCGTGGATAATTGTTATCATAACTTTCGATATTAATCATTGCTACTAATAAACAATCGCACGGTCAACCATTTACCACACGATCGTGCCGTCCCACTGCAAATCGTACACTGCTCCATCAATTTTTTTTCGTTGACAATTCAAAATTTTAGCTCGCTGTTTGCAAAATAAAATGGCATTTCTATTGTTCAATGTGATGTGTTTCATATCCATTTAAGAATTTTACCGTCTTACATGGAACATTTCGTATGACAATTTCCTTTATGTGAAACTGTAAAAACGCAAGAGTCACGTTTAATTTTACCATGTGAAAAAATGAATTCGTGTATTATGTACGCTTCGTTAAGAATCGTGCAAAAATATACATGAGTTTAATAATAAATATAATAATAATATAATAACATTATTAACAATAATATGCTAGCGTATATTAAATACTCATATGCAATAAGCGTAAGCGTATATTAACATTCTTACACTATTATGTGGATATTATATTGTTGTCACTGTGTGCTTTCATTGCGAACTTATTAGCAGATATATTCCTAATTAATGATTTCTTTGATAATATACATAATATTGTATTGTCAATAATTGCTAAAATACGCAAATATTGTAAACATTTTATTAATATACTTCAAACAATTGCCGAGTGAACATCTATATACTGTATAAACAGAACAAGTTTTTTATGTTGACGAAAATATATTAAAAACATATTTATATCTATCACATCATTTATCAGGTATAAAAAATAATTATTTGAAAAGTAAAAACCGCTGTTTTATTACATTGTAACATTACATGTGCATATATTACTTACAAATATCCGAAACACGAAAATATTGGAATCTTTACCTTTTTGTATTTGCATACGATAAAGATAAATTACTATAATAAATAAGAATAATTGAAATGCAAGAAAATTAATAGATTAAAACTGCATATATTTAGTGCTAAATTGTAACCATATCCCTGTATAATTATAATCAGAATGTTATAAACGACATTTGAGTTATATTATGATATCACTATACTCCGTGTATAAAAATAAAACAATGGGAAACATATGCAACGTTAAACGAACTACGCCCTGTATTATCTATTTGACAAATAATCCATCTTTCATAACAAATTTTTATCCCCCAAATTTGTTTTGATCTTCTTGTTTCTGTTAAAAGAAAAACAATTTTTGCATGTAGATTTATCTTCTTTTAATCTTAAAAAATCAAATATTGTAGATTATTTTACGAAACACATGAAATCTATATATCTCGCGCAATTTGTCTGCAACAAAATTCACCTAACAATATTTACGACTATAAATCAAGAGAAAAAGTTTTATGCCAAATAAATGCGTCCAACAAGGAATAGGCATAAGAAGTCGACTGTGTATGGTATATTTACATGATATCTTTAATTGAATAAAAATAATAGCCGCGTTCATTCTCCTGTATCCGTCAGAGATTTAAAAGAATATCTCAATAGATAATAATCAGTAAGTGCTTAGTAAGCTTTCTCTGCTAAATGCAGCCAAGCGTGTTGTTAGCCACATGCCGTGAACAGTTGCTAGGTCGATTGGGCCGCATTACTATAGCCTGAAAGACTGCGCCGCTCCTCCAATCATCCATCTCGGCGCGCACACTTGTCAGATTTCTGTCATTAATAACTCGATAATTATTGCGATTCTTGCAAAATTGTATTTTACTTCTCTTCTCAGCTTGACCCAGTCTACCTTCATACTTCGGATTGGCAGCTAATAACCGGATACCCTGTAATAAATAAATTGGTAATAGTAAATTGGTAACAATAAGATACCATGCGATATTGGCCATACATTGCAACTTTATTATATTGCGTTTATGGTAACGGATATTCATAATTATGTTTCTAGTTCTATGTTCACGTTCATATTGTTTATATCTAAGACTGTAAACAATTGTCGGAAATCTCAGGAACACATGTTGATATATTATTGTGTGTTTGAAGCAGTCACCGAGTAACCATCTATCTTGTGTGAGTACACAATTCTAATACTTTCACTATAGTTTGCAGTGCTACACATTATTTCTGATATAACGTATTATTTTCAATATTATAATAACTATTTGTAAGCATCAATTACAGAACCATACTGATATGGACATAAAAAAAGAAATACTTATATATTGTGGACCACGGACGTCTCTATATTATAATAAATTTTTTCATCCAAACTTGTGTCATGTTTGCAAGGATAAAAGGAAGGCGGTAACAAAATGCGATCGGTGCTGTTTGGTCTCTTATTGCAGCGAAGATCACAAAAATCTGCATTTACCACAACACCGAGAATTTTGTGATATTGTAGAAGAATCTTTGTTTGAGTACCCGGAATGGTTGACTCGCCGCTACACGTTTGAAAAATGGACCAATGCACAAATTATATTTAGTACATTTGTCGAAGAGAATATATCCCATAAATTTGAAGAATATGAAGCGCAGATATTCGAATATGCAAAATCGTGCCTTATCTGTCATCAACAGATTGATCTGAATACCTGCAACAAGTGCATGTCCGCCAACTTTTGTCTCGAACACAAGGAAGAATTTGAACAACAACATGAATCCGAATGCGAGAACTTATTATTATGGGTTAATATACAGTTGTCATGTTTACAATTTCAAAGTAAAATTCCATTATCAATGAAATTCTTGAACTTTCCTGATGATAATAGACCTTTCGATGATATGGCAACGTTTATTACACAATATGTACAAGAAGAAATTGGTCAATGGTACGCCGTGGATTACATTTATACTGATTACGTATCAGGACCACTGACGGTACATTATGGGATGAAAGAAGCAAAGTTATTGCATTTTCTAGAGACCGAATCTACTTATATTATTCATGTTATAGGCGCAAATTCTGAAGATACATACGGTTTACCTGCTTGGGAAATGTTGTTACATCTCTTACCTAACATAAAGACACTGATAATTATGTTTATAGGGCCAGATTTACAAAATGAACTTGGTATGCACGAACTTTGTCTCCGTTGCAGTAATAACAAGAGAAAGTTGATCTTTGAATGTTGTTCTATGTATTATCATGATTATGTTGCTAAAGGGATATATGAGCAACCAAACTTGATTGTAGGATTTAATACATTATTATCATACATACTAACATGGTCAAAAAGTATAAAAGCAATACAGACTCTGAACTGTCGGCTACTTTTAACCGCTAGAGATGTGAGCATGATGGAAGATGAAATAGATGAGATAAAGGTAATTCTGGATACTGCTATAAATCCCGTTTTTTGGGGTAGTAATAAATTCAAATCTCTAAGACCACATAGATACTTCAATGAGCTATATTTTCGTAATTCGTATTTATTTATCTACGATACTTTGAACAATCAAAGCAATTAAGACGAAAAGTATCAGTATCGGAAGAGTGCGAGAGGACCAAAGTGGGAACGGCTCGTAAACAATTATTTATCATAAAATTCGATATTAATCATTGCTACTAGTAAACGATCATGCGATCGGCCATTTTCTACACGATACTGCCGTCCCAGTGCAACTCGCACACTGCTCCGTCAATTTCCTTTCGTTAACAATTCAAAATTTTAGATCGCTGTTTGCAAAATAGAATGGCCTTTCTATTGTTCAGTGTGATGTGTTTCATATCCATTTAAGAATTTTACCGTCTTACATGGAACATTCTGTATGACAATTTCCTTTGTGTGAAACTGTAAAAACCCAAAAGTCACATTTAATTTGTTTATTATATGGAAAAATGAGTTTGTATATTGCGTGCGCTTCGTTAAGAATCGTACAATAATATACACGAGTTTAATAATAAAAATAATAACAATATAATAACGTTATTATATAATAATATAGTGTGTATTAAGTATTCGTATGTAATATGCACAAGCGTATATTAATATTACACTATTATGTTGATATATTGTTATTATACTGCGTGCTTTCGCTACGAATTTATTGGCGGATATTTGTAATCAGTGATTTTTCTGATTATATATATAATACCCATGAATTGTCAATAATTCCTAAAATATACAAGTATTGTAAACATTTTATTGTAATGTACTTCGGACAATTGCCGAGCGAACATCTATATACTATGTACACAAAATAAATTTCTGATGTTGACAAAAGAATATTGAAAACGTATCAATAGCTATCACAATTTTTTTCAGGTATGAAAAAATGATTATTTAGAAAGCGTAAAAACCGTTTTTTATTACATTATAGTATTATATGTGCATATATTACTTACAAATATTCGAAACACGAAAATATTTGGATCTTTACTTTCCTGTATTTGCATGTATAGGATAAAAATAAATAACTATAATAAATAAGAATAATTGAAATGCAAGAAAATTAATAGATTAAAAGTGCATACATATAAAGCTAAATTATAAACATTTTCCTGTATAATTATTAGTAGTTTTAATATGATAATTATTAGAATGAGAAATAGGACACAAAATTACATGCTTTTATTCGCTACATATATATTATGTAACGAAATATTAATGAGAAAATATTTGAGAAAATCAATATATATTTCTTGCCACAAATATAATTCCTGAAAAATTAATTTTTTTTTATTCAGACGGATGTATGTATAGAACGTTAAATATAGGTATGCTAGTATTAGATTTAAAATATTAAAATTTAAGTTTACGATATTAGTTGAGATTAAAAATATCGAATTGTTCGAAAAATAAACGATAAGTCTAATTAAGTAATTAAAAATAAACTAGACAGCCCATACTATCGATTTGTATTGTCGATATTTATTAAATCAATTATATTTTCAGAGGCGATTAGAGCGATCTTTTCGGCAGAAAACGTCCCATTATTGTCGCAATAATGAATGGCCAAAACATTCATTATTGGCAAACATTCATTTGGCCTTGAAATAGGTCAAAACATTCGGTACATTTATATATTTAGAAAATTTTGAAATTTATATAGACATTTTATTAATATGTAATATTTTTTATATTCTAACAGAAATTATTTTTATTAAGTTTGATTCTCGAATATCATTTATTTTGCAAAAATTTATAACATTTATACCATCTTTATAAAAAAAAATTTATAACATCTATAACCAATTTTTAGAAAATTTTCTTTTCTCATATATCATTATATCAATATTATTTATTTTTATATAGGGTGTTACTATGTGGAAAAATGAGTTTGTGTATTACGTGGGCTTCGTTAAGAATCGTGCAATAATATACATGAGTTTCTCTCTTCGGAACGTTTCTGTTTCTGAATGGTCTGTACCAACTTTCAAGATATGTTCCAGGGACTAAAACAAGCAGAAAATGTCATATGAATATGGGGTCGAAAACGCTTACTTATAAAGTTATGACGATTCGAAATTTTCCTGCAGTAGAAGAGTTACAACAATTCAAAGAACCGTCTTAAGAAAAATTTTCTCTCTTCAACATTAGATTCGAACAGTTCTCGAACAGTTCTTGGAGCACCATTGTTGGCTGTTACCGGCCTGAATTGCCCAATTTCTCATAATCGCCGATTAACTGCTGAACGTTTGATGATTTGGAGTTCGACGATCTGGAAAAGTTCGGGAAAGTCTAGAAAAGTTCTTCTTCTGAGGGTATTTGAAAACTCTTGTTTCAAAAAATTGTTGTTTGTTCTGCCCCAGTACCAGATGTTGCAGATTGTCTTCGTTAGCGGATCCTAGGTGGCTACGACATTATCCGTAATATACCTGGTATTTTCCAACGGTTTCGGCAATCAATGCGACGACGTGCACAGGCTTCCTTGGAATCTAACGGAGGCCATTTTGAGCCATTTCTTATAGTAAGTGTATTGTCTTGTTATATCCGTAGAAATAAATAAATACAGTTTGCAATTCCTATACGATTTAACGTTATAATTTCTTCTACTGCAGGAAAATTTCAAACCGTTATAACTCTAGAAAGAAGTTTTCGACCCTATGTATATATGACATTTTCTGCTTATTTTGATCCCTGGAACATATCCTGAAAGTTTGTACAGACCATTCAGAAACACCCCATGTTTTTTAAATCTGACGGAAAATATAATATCTTGTTCAACTTTTCTTTTGAGAAGTATTCACAACAAAACAATGTCCAGTGACTTCTGCCGTACGTTTCAAATGTATTTACCAAATTATATAATTTGCGGTAATAAATATATGTAACTGTCTAGCTTTATGTCCTCAGTTCAGATTGCCTACGTCTCCAACTGTAAACAACTCTCGAAATGCCCGGAAATATACGTAAACATTTTATTAGTAACCTTCAAGCAATCCATGTGTAACTATCAGTACTGTGTGTGCAGAGAATTCTATTATTTCTGCTAAGGTGCTGAATACTGCGCATAATTTTTAAGTTGATATTGCAGATACGGTATTATGTCATTAGTTACATAGGCACACTAATATGGATATAATGGCGACGTTATTACCATTCTCTGGACCGCTGACGTCTGTACATTACAATAAGATGTTTCATCCAAATCTTTGCCACGTTTGCAAGAAGACTAGAGAAGTGGTAAATTTGATAACATGTAATCGGTGTTTCATGATCTCTTATTGCTCCGAAGACCACAAAAACCTGCACCTTCCTCAACACCGTGAACTTTGCACAGTTATAACAAAAGTCCTGAAGAATAACCCGCAATGGCTCACTCGCCGTTTTAGTTCGGCTGAATGGTACGAAGCAAGGCGTCAATTTGTTCTATTAATTGCACATGATCTAGGGCGTATATTTGAGACATACGAAATGCAAATGTTCACTTTCGCTAAATCATGCTTTATTTGTCACCAACAGACCGGACTATATTCCTGCAAAAGATGTGTGTCCGTCGACTATTGTCTAGAACACAGGAAAGAATTCGAACAGCAACATAAACGAATTTCCTGCAACCTTTTGACACTGTGGCTCAATCTTGAGTTCTCAAATGTCCAGTACGAAAGTAAAGCCTCATTATCGTTGAAATTTATGAGGTTCCCTGATAACGATGGACTTTTTAATGATATGGCAAGATTTATGGAAGAATATGTACAAAACAAAAAAGGTGTATGGTATGCCTTGGATTACATCTATACCGATTACGTATCAGGACCATTCTCAGTATATTATGGAATGTACCATGCAGGACTACTTGATGTTCTATTGAATGCATCTATCTATATCATTCATATTATAGCAGCAAGCTCGATAGAAAGAAACGGTTTACCAGCTTGGGAAATATTGTTACATCTACTACCAGATATGCAAGTACTAATAGTTGTATTAGTAGGAACAGATTTACAATTTGAATTTGGTACACAGGAGATTTGTCCCTGTTGCGTTTTCAATAAGAAGAAGTTTATCTATGAATGTTGTTGTATGACATACAGCGATTACCTGACCAATGCAATATATAAAAGAGCCAACCTGATTGTAGGTTTTCAAGCAGTGTTAAAAGCTGAGTTATGGGCCAAATGTATAAAGGCAATGCAATCTCAAGAATGTCCACTACTTTTAACCACTACATCGCGAGATATAGCGTTAGAAGAAATAGCCGATATTCAGAAAGTTTTGGGTAGAGATGTATATCCTATTACTAGTGTTTATAATGTATTCAGGTCTTTCAGACCGCACAGAGGCTTTAAATATATGTATTATCGTAATTCATTTTTAATTGTCTACAAAACATTAAAGAATAACAAGCAGCACAACTAGCAGTAGTTAAAATTGCATATATATAATTATATCTTTGCTTTGATGACAGGAGAAGAAATAGATTGATTTAACATAACAATAAACAAAACAAAACGCTTTTCATTGTGTTCATTGTCTCGTTGAATAAACAAATATTATTTTTCTGTGTAAATAATATACTAGATTAATTGTTTTCACGAATAATTTGAAATTTTATTAATAATTAAACCGTTAAATTTTTCTAATAATTAAACCGTGCATATGTGTGTTACACATTTTTCAAAAAAAATATGGATTATATAAACCACCTGATAATAGACATATTTTTTTTGTTTGAATGTATGACTTCTTTACATTATGTATATAAATTACATTACATTTCACATATCTTATTTTCATAATTTTTTATGATATATGACATGCAGTTTATCGCGTTTACTTTGTTATTTATGAATACATTGCGTCTTTAAATATTCGAGTGCTCATGTGCAAAGTCATTAAACTGAATATAAAAATCCCCTACTGTTATATAAACCACTCTAATTATTGAGAAATTAATGAAGGAAAATTCACAAATAAGTAACCAAGATGCGATAGGACAAACTCTTTCAAACGAAATCTCTTTCAAAATAATATGAATCTTTTAACAATCTTTTGACAACGGCAGGCGGTACGTAATGCTGAACAGAATAAAAACAGAGTTTGATGATATTGGCTCGATTATTCATATTACGAACTTCCATTGTCTATTATTATGCATCGTCTATCACTATGCATCGTCTGTGTTATTGTTATATTTTTACTAAATTGAATTGCCAAAAAAAACGCAAGAAAATCAAGCACTTCATTATTATATTCCGAAAAATTGTCGAACGCACTTTAATATTATATAGACTCCGAATTGTAATAAATTATTTTAATAATTTCTGTTATTACATTATGTTAATACATTATGTTAATACATTTTAATAAATTCCTTTATAAAATTGTATTTATTGTTAATGATTAATTATTCTTAATAATTTTTATAAATATTATAAAAAAATTGAGCTATATAAACCATTTAATTTTAGTAGATAATTATAAATGAATTATAAATAATTAAGTAAAATGATGTTATGTATTGTGCTAAATGGTATTTTTGATAGAGGTATATAAATTATTAGTTGTGATTTATACCAATAGTAATATAGCTGTGTGTACTACATTATACAAATAAATAATATAATAATAATAATAATAAACGTAGTATACTAATGAATGTGTAATTCCAGAAATATATTATCAGGTTTACCTATATTTTCGAAATAATAAGATAATTATCGGAATAAGAAATAGAATAAATTACACGCTGTTATTCCCTGTTACAATGTGTAACAAAAAATTAATGAGAAAATATTTGTGAAAAACCAGATATAGTTTCTTTCAACAAATATAATGTCTGAGAAACTAATTTTTTGTTCTATTCGACGGATGTATATAAAATATTAAGTATGAGAGTAGTACGAAAAGTTGTCAGTCTGATAAAGAAAACATATGATTTTTGACAACATTCTTTTTTATTTTTCGATATAGTCCCCTTTCAACTCATTAAACTAAAGGTATTCTAACTTCCTTATATTTTCAGTATAATACGATTTTTTTTTTTAATTAAAATAAGCATTTATCTCAATGATGACTTCCGTATTTGAAATGGATTTCTTTCCAGCGAGTCATTTCTTTATGTTTGGGAACAGGACAAAGTCATTGAAGGCACTAAATGTGGTGAGTACAGTGCATGTGGCAGCAATTTATAGAATTTTGCAACTGCAATTGAAGAAGTGTGAACGGGTGCATTGTCGTGATAGAAAAATAGTATATTTTCTTCTTTGCCAAATAAGGACGTTGGTCTTAATGAAATCGCTCAATTGTTTCAACAATGCTGCATAACCTTTTCCTAAATAAATAACACAGCCTCACAAAAAGAAAGTGATCGATGCCTAAAACCGGACAAGTATATTCTTATGTATTTTGATCCGCTGAAACCGAATCCGAGGTCAGAATTGGACAATTATGATTAACAATTCATTATTAATTTAATAGTTGTTAGTAATTAGTTATTCTTATATATAATTTTTAAATATTTTATAAAAAATTTTTAGAAATGTATACTACCTGATTTTAATAATTATAATGTTAATAAATATTTTTTTATTATTTATTAAATACAGGATTTTAATAAATAATTATAAGTGGAGTATAAATAGTTGTAAGATAATATTATGTACTGCACTAAGTAGTATTGCTGATATATAGATACAGAAATATATAAATTATGAGTTGCGATTTATACCAATGTAACTTATACAAATGTAATTCTATGAATGTATTTTTTCAGTGAATTTGGTATTTTCGAAATAGTAGAATAATTATTGTAGTAAGAAATTGGACACAAAATTGCACATTGCTGTACCCTATTATATACATTGGGTAAATAATTAATGAAAAATATTTTTAGAAAACCATATATATTTCTTGTGACAAATATAATTTCCGAAAAACATTTTTTTTATTCAGACGGAAACAATTTTGTTTTATTCAGACGGATGTATGATGATGTAGAACACTAAGTATAAAGGAGTATTAGATTTAAGACATTACCTAATGAGAAATAATTCGTCGATCGACGTCGTTCCGACATTGATCAACGAGTCATTTCTCGCTAGTTCAAGTTCAAGATATTGATCGAGAATAATAATGTCAGAATGACCGAAAAGTAAGCGACAAATTGGTAAGGATAAACTAGACAGCTCATATCGTCGATTTGTATCGTCGATTGCATTTCTAGAGGCGATTAAAACAAAACGATCTTTTTAGCAGAAAACGCCCCATCAGTATTACCGTGAGTTGTTGTAGGTAGCGATGCCCATTGACAGTTTCGCCCGGCTTCTTTTCAGCAGCTCATAGTACACGATTCCTTTCTGGTCCTACCAAACGCAGAGCATTGTCTTCTTTCCGAAGCGATCGACGGCCGTGCCGTCGATGTTGATGAAAGCCACGATTTTTTGCGTTTGGGATTCTCGAAATATATCCACTTCTCATCGCCAGTAACAATTCGATGCAGGAAACTTTTTCTTTCATGCCGCAAAAGCAAAATTTCAGAAATGGCTCTTCGATTTTCCATCTGTCTCTCAGTCAACTCATGCGGCACCTATTTTCCTTCCTTTTAAATTTTTCCCATGGCATGTAAACGTTTGGAAATACCTTGCCGAGTCATGTTTAATGCCTCCGCAAGTTGATCTTGTGTTTGCGTATCATCTTCATCCAATAACGCTTGCAGATCGGCGTCCTCAATTGTTTTTGGTCTTCCGGAACGCTCCTTATCTTCAATATCGAAATCGCCACTTCTGAAGCGTTTAAACCAATCTTCACAGGTAGTTTTCGATGGTACATGTTCGCCGTAGGCCTCCTCAAGCAAGCGATGTGCTTCAGCTGTACTTTTTTTCAAGTTAAAGCTAAAAAGGAAAGCTTCCCGCAAATGCTGTTTATTCGATACAAAACTCGACATCTTCGTTGTTAGAAAAAATATTTTTGCATTGCGATATGTGTTGATATTACGACTGGTTATTGTTAACAGATGTCCAAGCTATAAAAAAACACAACTTCAGACATGTATGTCGACTACATGTGTTGTTAGCGCCATCCATGTGTGAAACCCGAAAACTTAGTTGCGCACCTAGTATCCAAATTATTTTATTTTATTTTTATTAAATCGGGTAGAAAAGAAAGCGCATTTCAAACATTTATTTTGAGAAATATTCACAATAATACGATGGTTGCATACGCCGTATGTTTCAAATTTATTCATAACATTACTGGCGGTAATAAATATCTCTAGCCATTTATTTCTATGTCCTCAGTTCAGATTGCCTGCGTCTCAAACTATAAACAACTCTCGAAATGCCCCGAAACATACGTAAACATTTTATTAGTAACATACAAGCAATCCATATGTAACCATCTACTAGTACTGTGTGCGAGAATTCTATTATTTCTGCTGAGGTGCCAAATATTGTGCATTATTTCTAAGTTGATATTGCAGATTCAATATTATATCATTGGTTATATAGGCATACTAAGATGGACATACGGAAGACATTATTTCTATATTCTGGACTATGGACGTCTGAACATTACAATAAAATCTTTCATCCAAACCTTTGCCATATTTGCAAAAAGACTAGAGGAGTGGCAAATTTGATAACCTGTAATCAATGTTTCTTGATCTCTTATTGCTCCGAAGATCATAAAAATCTGCATCTTCCGCAACACCGCCAGCTTTGCACAGTTATAAAAAAGTTCCTGAAGAACAACCCGCAATGGCTTACTCGCCGTTTTAGTTCGGTTGAATTCTATGAAACAAAACTTCAACTTTCTCAAATAATTAAATATGATCTAAAGCGTAATTTTCACAGATATGAAGCCCAAATGTTAGCCTTCGCTAGATCATGCTTAATTTGTCATCAACACACCGGAGTGTATTCCTGCAAAAAATGTTTGTCCGCCGACTATTGTCTAGAACACAAGGAAGAATTTGAACAGAAACATAAACAAACTTCCTGTGACCTTTTGATACTGTGGCTCAATATCGAGCTTTCAAATATTCAGTACGAAAGCAAAGCCTCGTTACCGTTGAAATTTATGAAGTTACCTGATAACGATGGACCTTTCAATGACATGGCAAAATTTATAGAAGAATATGTACAAAATAAAAAGGGTGTATGGTACGCTTTGGATTACATCTATACTGACTATGTGTCAGAACCGCTCTCCATATATAATGGGATGAACCGCGCAGGATTATTTGATATACTATTGACTGAATCTATTTGTGTCATTCATGTTATAGCAGCAGGCCCCATACAAAGAAACAGCTTATCAACTTGGGAAATATTGTTACATCTTTTGCCAAATATACAAGTACTAATAGTTGTATTAGTAGGGACAGATTTACAGTTTGAATTTGGTATACAAGAGATTTGTCCCCGTTGCGTTTGCAATAAGAAGAAGTTTATCTATGAGTGTT